GAGAGAGAGAGAGAGAGAGAGAGAGAGAGAGAGAGAGAGAGAGAGAGAGAGAGAGAGAGAGAGAGAGAGAGAGAGAGAGAGAGAGAGAGAGAGAGAGAGAGTAAAACCCAGCTCCAACTCCTTGTAGAGCACCCACCTTGTGTAGATGTAGGGAATGCAGAATGTACAGAGGAGCATAGATTTGAGAGATATTCACCATCAGTCGAGATGACATGTAAATAAGAGCGTTCTGTGGTGAGATAGAGTATGCAAGAACAAACATACACGAGCACGCACACGAGCACACACACACACACAAGTACAGTGATTGATCGTAAGTGCCATATCCACTCAGAAACACGAGTCCAAGTGAACAAGAGTAAAACACTCCCCAAAGCACAAGGACAAGTACCTGCAAATTGTCCACTTTGCATTCACGGATTGTGACACTTGCATGACCAAAACCACAAGATGTAACAATGACTGGTGGCCCTTTGCGGTCTGACTTCAGATGCACTACAAATGAACTCACTTGACCTTGTCCTACCAAACGTTCGAATTTGTTTGGACAATTTCACTGTAGCCATCCACTATATCAGTATGCCTATATCCATAACATCCTCGCTACACTTTAAACGGTCTATGGCTTACAAAACCAAAATTTAGTACGATAAACGATGAGGCACAACATAGCCAAATGCAGTCTTCACTCTGTAATACCTGATAGAAAGGTAGACGCTTGAACCACTTCCTCCACGACGACTTTGACTTGAATGCTGGCTCGTCACGCATAGCATCCGCAGGTGATTTCTCTTTAACGCCCAGGTGAAATATCAGAACAAATATCGCTCCCACAGCCAATACAGAGTAGCCCATTTCCTGCAAGTAAAACAAGAGAGAGAGAAAGTAAGAGAGAGAGAGAGAGAGAGAGAGAGAGAGAGAGAGAGAGAGAGAGAGAGAGAGAGAGAGAGAGAGAGAGAGAGAGAGAGAGAGAGAGAGAGAGAGAGAGAGAGAGAGAGAGAGAACAAGTACAATTGACAACTAGATTACAGACCTCGGCAGTAAACTTATAAAGTCCGCATTCCATAGTTGAGCCAGCTATAAAAGTGCTGCTGCTAGTCCTGTCGCAAACTCGGGAACCGCATAATTTGCAGGCAAGCTCGCAAACGGTTAACCCTCGGTCATAAGCGCCGACACAGACGAATAGCAGATGCAAATTATGCAAGTCATACTTGAAGTATACAAAAATCCCTGTGCACACACACACACACCATGTACCATGTATACGCCCGTCGCAAGAGAAGCACGCAAATCTGCAAATGCACTGGATGTGTACCCACAGATTTTCTCTTTATAGCAACGATAGCGGATCTGATTCTGATTGAAACAGATCAAGACAAGCGCCAGATAACTGTCTAATCCACACAACTGGCGAAGCCATGTGAATCGACCCCCCAATGCACACCTGGTCTACACCACACGGAGTACATCGGAATAGGACGGCCAAGACAGTTAACTATGCACACCCTACACTTGCTGGGGTAACCAGTATAGACAGCACGCTGCTTTGATAAAAGCAGACACTAGATGCACTGTTACCTTGAAGTGAAATTGGAGTTATTTTACCAACCAGCCTCGGCAACTGGGTACTGGGAACCCAGGGCCAACAGACGTACCAACAACCTCAGCCATGAAAGCTATATAGTAACGACACACTGGATTGTGGAGCCGAAACTAGTCCAACTTCCAAAATGCACATACACACACACACATGCGCACGCGCGCACACACACACACACATACACACACACACACACACACACACACACTGCACACGAACAAAAAAAAGCCTCCGATGCTTACCATGAAGATGGGACTATCTGCAGCATTCAGCTCACCATCCTTGGACTTGTCGAACTCCAGTAAGAGCCACATGCTGATGTAGACAGCAATTGTACTCATAATGGTGAAAGCATATCTACAGTAACACACATACACACACACACACACATACACACACACACACACACACACACACACACACACACACACACACACACAAGGGCCAACAAACAGGAACAAATGAGCCAGGCGCTCTGTCTGTCACTGATTTACTCACTACAAAACAGACCTACAGCCAAAGGTTGAATCCAGTGTAATAACGGCCTCTTCACTTCTAAGGACACACACATACACACACGCGCGCGCACACACACACACACACACACACACACACCTGAGGATAGACCAACTCACCGCAGACCGTTGAGAGAGACCTGCTCCAGACTGTCGTGAGTCAGCTGTGGGATGAGGGAGAGGTGAGAGATCTGCACGGACGCCCATCCAAACTGAAACACCACTACAAAGCAGCAGTAGTACAGACTAATGGCCCAGGCAGATGCATTCTCACAGTCAATACACTCGCGGAAGATGAACGAGAAGGAGATGAGTACGCAGAACGTGCCAAGAAGATGCCAGGTCTTGCGTGGCCCGTACTCGCTCTTTGTGCTGTCTGCAGCTACGCCAATAAACGGTGTGAACATGGCGTCGGCAACCTGAGTGAAAGCGTCACAGACACCCATGCACAGGTGCGTGCACGTAAACACACGCACACACACACACACACGTGCACACACTCACACACACGCACACACACACACACACACACACACGTATACACACACACACACAAGGCATTGTTGCGGAGTGGTATATGCCAGCACATTCGGAGCAAATAGCTGTGGGCTTGAATCTAGCGTGATCAACACTTTCACACCGTCAACCCACTGTCCGTTTGATCACCCACATTGAATGACTCTTCTCTGCGAGCTTTATTTTATTTTATTGCATGCACACAGTAATTATTTCAAATGGTGAACGGTACTATTCGGCCAATAAAATGTAAAGAACTCTTCCATGGAGGAGAGGAGAGGAAAAGCATGCACACAGTGTTCAAAATATCCATGCAATATTCATGAAGCAGTACATGCATCTATACGATGTCCACACCAGTCTAGAACAAATTGAAAATTGTCCGAACCAAAGGTTTGGTCGGACATGACAACACTTCTTGTCAATTTGCACTCGTTTTCTTCCTGTTCTTGCTTTTCTAGACGGGTGTGGCTGACTTGTAGATGCATGCACTACTTTTAGAAGTGGGAACGCTTGCAATTTGTTCTGCAAATATTCACGAGGACTGGAATTCAGTTGCCAGAGTGAGTGATTCCTCTGTAAACTAGAACTTGGCACTTTGTGAAGGGTAGTCGCAAAGAAATAAGGTGCCGAGTTTTCGTTTACAGAGCAAGTATAAGCCAGAATTTGGGCTATCACACACTGTATATGCATGTACATTGAAACCTGTCGAAGGCGACCACTCAAGGGCAGCAATAAAATGAAGACCAAAAAAGGCCCAGAAGTGGCAGCAGTAATTTTTCAGCACCATCAATCACCAGCAGCAGCAGAGCCATGAGAAGGAGTTCAGCCCACTGCCATGGCTGTTCGGCTGTTTTTAAGTCCTTTCTCACTTTTCTATGCGTGCATCAGCTGTGTACGTTAGATTTCCTCGTCCCGCAAGTTCAACAAGTGACATTGATTATTGGAGAATTTCTTCCCTGACAGAAAGTGCCACTCGGCATCAGAATAAATGCTGCCTCTCGACGCCAGGTTTGCTATATCCTAGCATGGCAGCCATTGGCAGTGTGGCTGACAAACTACAGCAAACTCAGACGAATACGCCAGGCGCCGCGCCTCACCGTGGATGTTCTAGTCACGCTGACCACTGTTTACGTGCATGGGGCACGCAACAGCATTTCCTGTTCAACACTGCACAGGCGTTGCTTTTTGCCCATGGCTTGTATGACGATTTCCATGCGGCGGGTGCTTGTACCGTGTGTGAATGCAGACTAGCAGATATCAGTCTTCCTTACTCAATGCCAAGGGGCACATCACTGTGGCCTGAACTGCTACTGAAAGTGGAGTGATTTTTGTGCATATACCGTAAAGTACCGTTGATCCGCCCCCACTCTAATTCCCGCCCCCCCCCCCCCTCGATTTTCTGTCTCTGAAGCGACTTCAGAATTATACGGTAGAGAAATTATGCGTCTTGCTGTACTCATGTCCATATGCATACAGCCAACCTCGTACTACTTTATACTGCGCAAACAAACATTCGGGTGAGAGTCTGTGCGAATGTGTACGTCGAGTTTGACCTTTCTCACCTGTTTGCGTCTGAAAGATACAACACCGCATTGTCGTACAACGACACTGCACCAAACAGCCTTGATCGAATTCCCCCCCCCCCCCATGAAAAACAAGCTGGGAAGCGACTTGGCGTGGGGGGCGGATCAACGGTACTTTACGGTACATGCAATACAAGTGCTGTGTGCTACACAACATATATGTACATCTGCTCTGGGCACAGGTACTAGGTGTGCAGGAAGCGTACGCATCATGCATGGCAGCAAGCGTACGCATCATGCGTGGCAGCAAGCTGCGACACATAAAATAACCTGGCTCTACATCTGACACACCACGGCATCTAACTATGGCGGAGTAGAAGGAGACACGGTGGGACACCTCCGATTTGTTGTGAGCGATCCAGTACAATAATATTTCATCACTCAAATTTCTGTTTTCAAGGTGGACGCTTTTGATTCAAACCGAACAAGGGCTCCTCTGGTCTGGATCTTCTGGACAATACTGCGCACGTCCACTAACCTGCCCAATAAGCATGATGAGGCCGGCGCTGAAGTTGCTGATACCAAGAACGCCATGGTAAAAAACCAGCAGATAACTGAACCACATGGCGGCACACAAGTCGTTCATAACATGACCAACACCGTACGAATAACGGCGAATCCAGTGTAACGACCTCATGGTGGCTTTCAGGCAAAGCCTCCCGGTCTAAGAGCTAAAATTGAACAGCAATAGTGATGTTGATCTCCAGTTTCGACAATCAAGGCACGGAGAGAAAGAAACAATAGCAGAAATTTTGAAAGAACTGTCGATATCGCGATGTCGACTGCATTTCTGTTTTGCAAAGATCATGCATCCACGTTGTGACCTGTGCGTGCATGCATCTGAGGTACGGTGACGCTGTACTATGATTGTGCAGTGCGCGCTTGGCACATGGCACAAAAGTCACGTGCACTCTTGACCGTTGCATGCATGGTTGCATGCTCGCTTTCGACTTCGACACCATGTACCATCATTCTACCATGTACCAGTCCGTTTGAAGACATGATTGCTATGTCAACTACGAAGTCTCGTGCCACTAGCTACTGATTCTGTCGTAGATTTTACTAACTGAGGTAGCTGAGTAGAGCCCTTTCCTGGGCCCGGGGGTAGACCATAGTTGACAGATTTGCTTGCTTGTCCTCGAGAAAAAGGGAGTGCCGTCCGGTGACACCTCCTGCCTTGCAAGGGCGAAGTCAAGGCTTCCAGCCTTTCCTCAAGTTTTAACTGGGACCCCAACTACTGTGTCTTTGACTTTAGTAATACAGTCGACCTACCCTTATAACGATATTTGCGTCAGACCAAGAAATATTGTTATAAGGGTAATATTGTTATAGGGGTAACTGGTTCATTTCATACACATACGTCATAATGCATGGATTTTGTTCATTTTTTACACTCTTTATAGCATAAAAAACTGACATACATGCACATTATGTACACAGCAAGGTGCCCACTGGTGCCCCCATTGCATTTCGTCATGTCCCAGCGACTTATCAAGTGAAGCTTGCCCTACCTGGATAGTGGGCTCTACATCTTCCCTGCTAGATATTGTTATAAAATGGGAAATGTTGATTGGTCAGCCCATTTTTTATCGTTATAGGGGTAATATCGTTATAGCAATATTGTTATAAGGGTAGGGCATTGTATACAGAAGTCAATGGAGTGATTTGGTTTGGCAGAAAAATATCGTTATAAGGGTAATATCGTTATAGAGGTTATCGTTATAAGGGTAGGTCGACTGTACCGGTACTAGTAACACTACTTGTTGTAGTCGGTGCCACGACAGGTGTGTAGAGTGTAGTAGACATGAACATGTTGTGTCAAGTGCAATGCCATTGACATGACGAGCAAAACCAGGCAGTCGTAACTACTCCCTGAGCTACCCAATGCTGTAGACAGCAAGCTGTTTCGGTCAAAAAGGCCTCATCAGTACAGCTACGAGCAGAGCTCCATGAGCTAGACTACTAATCGTGGTGTGCCGGCGACGCCTAGATGACTGAGGAACTAACTAATTGTGCATGTAGACTGATAATGATAGGTAGGGAAAAAGTGTTTGAATACTACGTCATGTACATACAAACTACAAAGACTGGATAGATACACTACTTGTAGACACCGATAATCTCCAAGCTACAAAGAGATACTAAGTAAGTGCCAGTACATGAATTTCACTACAAAGCTTCCAATCTCTCTCTTGTGAATTTCACTACATGTATACTACTCTAGACATGCTGCAAATGACTCAGTGTCAAACGGGTACGGGTGCGGGTGCGGATGGCACAGTGACCGGTACTGGCAGTAGATATTAAAGGGGAAGTTAAGGCAACAATTAAAATTTCACCAGTTGTAGTCTTCGGGGTGCTGAGTCGAATGGTCGTGGTCCGAGGAAGCTGAGACGCTCCCTTCCTACTTGAATCCCAATCGAACTCGCGCACTTCCACCGAAACTGGGTGACTGCGCCCTACTAGATGGGGATTTGTATGCAAAATGTCACTAAAAGCGCCATTTCGTTCTTATAAAAGCACGGATGACCGCGATTGGCCCATATGTTGTAGTCTTTTGGACGCTGAGTCGACTGGTTTTGGTCCGAAAAGGCTGCGATGCAGCGTTCGCCCCTAATTCCCAATCGAACATGGTTGAACAAGCGGTCACGTGCTCCTGCGTACGCCAGTCACCTGGTCACCGTGCCTGCAGGGTACAACTTACAGCCTGTTTTGACCTTTTTTGGGTGCAGTCCTGTCACTCGAGTTGAACCTTGGTGTGAAAGTTGTCGCCTGCTGGCGTGGTGACCAGGTGATTTGGGCACCCAGGAGCACGTGACCGCTTCTTCAACCATGTTCGATTGGGAATAAAGGAGGAACACTGCATCGCAGCCTTTTCGGACCAAAACCAGTCGACTCAGCGTCCAAAAGACTACAACATATGGGCCAATCGCGGTCATCCGTGCTTTTATAAGAACGAAATGGCGCTTTTAGTGACATTTTGCATACAAATCCCCATCTAGTAGGGCGCAGTCACCCAGTTTCGGTGGAAGTGCGCGAGTTCGATTGGGATTCAAGTAGGAAGGGAGCGTCTCAGCTTCCTCGGACCACGACCATTCGACTCAGCACCCCAAAGACTACAACTGGTGAAATTTTAATTTTTGCCTTAACTTCCCCTTTAAAGGCAGTAAAACCAAGACTGGCAAGAGGCCATGCACTCTTGGTAAAACCTGTCAAGGCGACCACCTGTCCTAGAAGACCACTGAAACCAGCACCATGCACCAATGAATGCTATTTCCAGTCAAATGACCCTGGATAAGGAGACCGCCTGCTAACAGAGACCTCGTTTTGAAAGTCTTGAGCGGTCCCCTAACTCCTCTAAGAGACAAGTCATGTACATGTAGGTTTCACTGTGATGTGCGGCAGGAGTGGTATAACACACTAATGTGATGTGCGGCAGGAGTGGTATAACACACTAATGTGATGCACTGCTACATCATGTATTTGTGTTCCGACTTCAGGCAACTGTTTCTGCATGTTGATTATTCGTGTTCAACCAAGCATGCAAATTCAGTCAACGTTACGTTACACTGTGACTTTCGACCGCACTTACTACACGTACCAGTTACAGACAAGAGTATAATATTATACTATTGGTACAGAGCAAGACCAATGCTACCGTATAGAAAGGGCCTAGGCAAAAGCTCACTTCCTGCATTGTGTATTATACTGCAAGACACGTCCCCGGTTCCCCTGGGGATGGTCCCGGGAATGGGGTGTTTATCCCGGCGTCCCGGAATTGAGATCATACGAAGCAAATCGAATCGATGGTCTGTAGAACCAGGTCCCACAGTGTCTGTGTAGAACTGTCCGTGCATGGAAAACGGGCATTATTTTTCAGAAAAATTCGGAAATCCGCGGCGCTAACCGTCGCGAACCCCCCTAAGAGCAGGTGGTCGCTAAAACCCAGAGGTCCTTTATGCAAGGTTTTACTGTATCGTTACAGTTTGCAGTCCAGGGAGCATGCAAGACAGAAACCAGCAGCTGGTTCTGATGCATCTATTGGCCTGTCGGGTGCCCAAGAACGTAGCGCCGAACAAGAAACAGGCTAGAATTTCATCAAGCACAGCATACCAACGTATACGGTGACTCAACTGTGCAAATATTGAAGTACACGAAAATAAGAACAGCCTACAATTATGCAGGCTACGAGGTTGCCCCCTTTGGCACCCGGCAGCACTGTAAAACGTCAAACAAGCTGAAGGTCTGACTTCCAAGTCATGCAGGCCAGGCCAGGTGGTGTATCATGTAATGTACTAAGCGCATGCACACATGTCACATCTGTTACTCCAGACCTCAATGCCATCCTTGCATGCACTGCCACCGCCACCAACACATAGCCGGCCACAACCATCCAGCTCAGATTGAAATGGCCGGGCTGTGCACTCAATGTTGATCATCGTGAGAGATGGGACACGCACACTGCAGAACTCACTCATTCCAAAGACATGGCCTCGCCAGGATGTCACGAAAACAGTGTTATATTCTGAATAACACTTTACGCAGCATCATGGACATTCATGATTACACGGCTTAAAGCAACGTGGACTAATAGCACTAATGTGGACTAATAGCAACACTGGCTAATGCTCATCTACAATGCAAGTTCACAACATTCGCCAGAGAATGTAGTTCAATGCTTCGGTCACTGTGAAAGTCTGTCATCGTCATCAGGATGAAGTGGGCAAGGAAACAGGGCAGGTGTTACACAGCAGACTTGCTAGGAGTGCTATGCATAACTGCCAACCGTTGCAAACCTGAGGTCGGGACAGTGACATACCTAGCTATGAAAATGTGTACAAACGTAGCTGCGAGGCATGCGACTATAATGCACTTTTGGGTGCCTATGATCACCCACGATATCCGGACTGTCCTGACCAAATCGGTATGGTTGGTAGGTATTGAGTATAGAATGGGAGGTATTCATCAATTTCCCGCCATTAGGTTTTGCAGGGCAAGTCCATTACAACCGTACACACTGTGATACCAGCTCTGCATAAAAGGTCATGAACTTTGTGAGGTCATACTCATAAATGTACTATGACAGGTTGTACCTGCCAAGTATGGGGTAACTTGCCCTGCAAAAAGGTGACGGCCATCTTAGATGCATACCTCCTATTATACACCGCCACGGACAGTGAACAAGATTGAACGACATTTTCTGATGGATGGTGCAAAATCGCAGTACCGTAAAGTTCCGTCAATAGAGAGGTTCCGCACTACGTAAAGTTGAGCAACTTTACGTTAGTGGGCGGGAAAAACCCATGAATTCACGAGTTCGCACTCCACTTACGGAAAGTTGTCTACGGAGAGTACGTAGATAGGGCTCTGATAACGTAGCTGGTCCGTAAGTGGATTGGGGTACAAATTGATGACTCTCTCTCCAGGTTGATCTGGTCGTACACTGCCGCGTTCGGAGTTGCCCAGGGCAGCTACGTGATTTGAAAACTCCGTATGGCGGAACCTAGATGCGCATGCAGTTTACGTAAGACTTTCCGTAGATCGACTACGTTTTTTACTAACGTAATCACGTTATGCGGAACCTCTCTAATAAGCCCCGGGCGTATACAGAACGAGGGTCTGAAAACTGGGCGTATATTTGGGCATGGGTGTTATTTCAGGACTGGGCCTATACAAGGTGCATATTGCATCGCTTGCGTCTCATAAGCATGCTTAACATTTTGCACACATACACATACGCAGGCACAGCATCACCCTGGGCAGTTTTTTGGGCATGGGCGAAC